GCTTGGCGGTCCCCAGAAGCGAAAAATAGACATTGTGCAGGCGCTGCTCGTCGGTCCAGCAGTTGTGGCGTGCAACGCGTTCATAATCGTCAATCCAGTCTTCGACGTCTTCGTGCTGCTCGCCGTGGAATGGAGCAGCCGTCCGCGGTACGACGGGCAGGTGAACGACGGCAAGAGCGGCCGGGGTCTCCGACTGGTTGGCCATCGTCGTCCTTCTGGTTTGCTTGGTCTTGGTTGGCAGCAGTCCGTATTCCAGGTCTAGGAACTGGATGTGGCGACTTACTCAGGTCTCGGTGGTGTCTTCGTTGGGTACTCGGGAGCTTGGGTTCGGACTCGTACTGCGGGAACTCGGAGGGGTGCGCTGCACGAACATGCGGTACCCCAGACATCCACCAGAATGTCACGGGTGGTGACCAGAATAACAATAAATCAACAGGAAGAAATAAACGTTTAATGTGGCGAACTTGTGCCCAAAACAAAAAGGGAATAGAAAATAGTAATAAAGCGTCGCGTCGAAGTCGGCGAGACAGCAGAGTCGAGTGTTGGGGCGAAACTGACTCCGCTCGCCTTGCGGAATCCCTTATGTACCCTCGTGGGTTTCTGGATCGTTCGGCGAAGAAGGTTCGGCGCGTAGAACATTCTAACCTCGAATCAGCAAGACAGTTCTCGAATTCACCAGAACATCACATTACAGTGTCAACAAAAATGTGTAGCCGCGGCCAGGAATCGAACCCTGGCCTTCTGCGTGGAAGGCAAGCGCGATAACCGTTATGCCACGCGCACGCTGCCTACTTGGCCAGCTGCGCGCGCGGCAATATATAAAAATAACACCGTTATGCCACGCGCACGCTGCCTACTTGGCCAGCTGCGCGCGCGGCAATATATAAAAATAACACAATAACGGGAGGAACTGACCCAAAAAAAAGATTACGCTATGTACACAGCACTGTCGGCGTATGAAGGAACCGGGCGGCTTCAGAAGGCCGGGGCGAGGCTCCCGCCAAAGGTCTTGAGGAGGTTTTGGAGGAAAATCATGTCCTCCCTCCTCAGGGTCTGTCTCTTGGCGTGGAGGGAACACAGGTAACTCGCAGACAGGAAGTTAGTCACGAACTGCTCCGACGCGTCCTGGAAAAGAGGTGACGCCCGTCAAACGCCAACGAATCGAGGCGATGCGTTAGAACTGGGACAGGCCCACAATTTTAATGTCGAAAAATTTACGGCTCACATTTTTTATATCGTTTCTATTGGCAAAAGAGGAGAAAATGTGCCACCTTCGTTCAGAATGCTGCAAATTTGCTGCATACGGTAGAATCTCGATGATACGACGACGGTTCGTCCGAATTTCGGTAAGATACGAATTTTTCGAAATTCCCGGCAGAAGTTCGTTAAGACTAATCTATTACGTTTCGGGATAGTCCGAATGCTTTCTCGGCCGCGGAGGATCATGTGAACGATCATCAACAACCTTTACACATCCTGCGGGACGGCATCACTTGACTCCTACGACTGTAGCACGCTTTTTGAGTCATTTCTCTCGCCGTTCTTTCTATGTACGCACCATGCAATCCCGATAACCGTAGGTGCGTTCCAAAATTCGAAAACACACCCACGTCCACCGCTGCTCTGTGTTGTCGCGTGATGAGAATTTGGCTCGCTGGAGTAACTCGCGTTTGCTCACTCAAGGGTTGCTGCTTTATATTTATTGTCACGCGATAAATGAGTTTCAGCAACTCTGACTGACTTGAGTAAACGTGAGAAATGACGTTTGGAATTGACCCTTATGTAACGGCTTCCGCAAGTGTGAATTCACAAATCCTACAGTGGCTGCTCCTCCGGAACCAGACGAAAACTTGAGAATTGACGACCGAGACCTGCGCTTTATGCTGAGAAATCGGCCTTCGATTTCGTTACCGCAGATGACAGCCTCGCTACTTGCGGATTAAGGACTGCCGAGGCAATCGTTGAGGAAGTGACAGCATTGCAAGGACGGTGAAGTAGCGGAGATGATGACGGCGACGTAAACTAATGACAAGCAGCCACCGACGACTGCTGAAACACTGCATGCTCTCGATGTGCTGTGCCGCATAGTGAGCCCGAGATCAAGGTCAGCAATGACAGGTACGCTCGTTCTTCCGTGCTCCAAAAGTGCCTTTTGGGTGACATCGGAAAAAGAAGGCTCAGAAGAACATTATCGACTTCTTTAGATGGGAGTGTGACCAATGAATTGGAAGTAGCCCCCCCTTTGGTTTCACATAGTCATGTGACTTGATTTTTTGTTAGTATGAATTATGGACGATACAAATATCTTCTGCGATCTTTCGAGATTCATATCATCGATCTTCTACTGCAATTGCAAAAAACAAAACCATATTTTTTTTTTTTTTTAATTTGCAGTCTTGTGTGGTTGTCATCGGAACTATGGCGTGACCTTTTTCGCGGCGCCATCTATCCATCTATCGGAAATAAAGGAAACCGTTTCCTCTCCTTCGCTACCTTCAACGTCATTCCCCGCGGCAAGCCGTCCCACCTCGATACCTCGACGATGGCAAGTGTGGCCTTGAAAAGTCGACCAACGGGCAGGGAAGGCTGCTGGTCCCAAAGACGACACCGAAACTCACTCGAAACACTTCTACTTGTTCAATCTCTTTGTAGATTAAAAACTAGCGCACACAAGAAAGAAAGAGTTCCCGCTCCTCATATTATGGTTGGTCTCGACTAATTCCCACAATTAATTGGCCAAAGTTAGAAAATCGTTGCACCGCCTCTTGAAAGGGGAGACGCTGCTCTTTCACGTAATGGAGGACTGGCGGTCGGGTCTGTTAGTGCACGGTGGCTCGGAGAGCGTAGAGCACAAGCTCGCACAGCAAGACCCAAGGTTCCTGGGTCTTGTGATCCTCCCCTCTCCTGCCCGTTTCGATCTGGACGAGCATCCTACCGGCGTGCGGTCGTGTTTCGCCAAGCGAAGTATGCCGAAGACCCAAGGCTAGCAGTGGTATCGACTAAATAGGCCACGTAGGTTGATTCAGTCACAGGCCTACCTGGCCTACGACTGAATAGGCATGTATTGACGAAAATAGGACTACCGTAAAATCCGAAGAGATGTCCCACCCGAGAAAGGTAACCCACCCCCATTTCTGGCTCGAGGTGCTATTTCATTTGAAACACCGAAAGATGGCCCCCTCCTAGTAATCGTAGTTTCGGATCAATGATGACCGTGGCGTAAATGCGTCTAGTTAGCTATGGCGAGACATAAGCCAACACTGCTGATTGGATTAGTCGTCTTTGCTTCATTGCCCCTTGCCGCGATAACAACTTTGACAGGGACACAATCAAAAAATAGCATTTATTCAACTTGCCCCAACTGCACACCAAAAGCTAGCCCACCCCTCATTTCCACCCAATTTTCTAACTATTTTAGGTGGGCTATCTCTCAGGACTTTACGGCATGTGGGCCAACGTCGACGGGGCGCCACGACGGCGACCAAAAGACGAGGCAGGCTTACCTGTAGCACCGGCAAGGCGAGCCTCTGCATGTAGCGGTCGGAGCGACTGGGGGCCAAACCTTGCAGTATCTCCCTCACCACCCGCGCAAATGACAGCCGCGGAATGAGGGGCCGCGTGGTCCTCTAAATTTGCTTAGAAGACACTTAACGGTCGTCTCGGAAAGAAGCTATGCATTTATTAATTTTACCGCTAAACCTGGCGGGAAATGCACCGACGGGCAGATGGATGGGCGAAATCTTCCGATTGATGGAGCTCCGTTGAAAAGCATTCCGCACCTTCAAAAAAAGAACTCTAGCAATTTCTGCAGTTAGGCAAATCAATACCAAATAAACACACAAAACAAGCTCTTTTTGCATTGTTGTGCCAAAGGCAGACTTAACACAGAATGCATTGCATACTGCTTCACAATGAAACTGCCGGAAAGACTCTGCACGCATCTTGCGCCTCGACGGCACGAATGTTGTCGTGCGCTACGTCTCTGCAAGAGAGCCCCGCCAAAAGCGGAGTAAGCTACGCCCGCGCACCGAAAGTGGTCTTGAAGTGGCAATGAACACATCGCCGCTGGAACAGCGCCCTTCTGCGATGCCATCGGGCGGAAATCGAGGGACCATTTTTCTTTGGACGCGGTAAATGCGCCGATCGGGGAACCGTTTTGGACGCCCTGGTGGGAGTAAAATGCGAAGTTCGCGCACGCAATCGACAACTAAAACTTACCCGCCTGCTACAATCTCTTAAAATTATGCGATTTCTCGTTTGTTTGAGCAGTATTTATGGTCCGCGGCGGGCCGTAGCTGAAAACAGTTCCGAGAGATTAAAATTAACTTCTTTGGGGAGAGGGGATTTTTAAAAACCCTTAGCTTTTTAGGGAACATCGAGACAATGTGTACAGGGTTTCCCAGATTACTTGCATCAAACTTTAAAACAAAGCAAACGGAGTCCTCCAGGGAAGTAAAACCAACTGCACGTCGTTAGCAAGCGTCTTAACATAGTTGCCGCATTTTTCTCGATCTGCCCAATTATTCGGTCGATTAAGACTAATTAGCAAACTTCAGTTTGTGAATTGGAAAGCGCCCCGTGTCTTTTAGATTTGGTACAAGTCATCCCAGACGCCTGAAATATATATCTTTTAACCTGTTTACAATCCACGCACTAAATACTCGCAAATGGCGTTCATTTACACCTACGCAACGACGCGTTTGATTGCACGGTGCCCCACACGCCGTACAAAAATCACAGGAAGTCGCTGTTGCCGGGTGCCATTAAAGGGGCCCTCCGGAGCGTTCTGCGATGGTCTATATATGGCGGTAACTCAATCTATGGGTCCTAAGGATCCTAAAAATCGTAAAATTACAGTCATGCGCGGCGGATTTCCCTATTAAAATTGCTATCAAAGTCCCCGGCACGCCCCCCTTTCTAAGATGACCCCGGAAAACGGGAGGGGCATCTCTTTACGCATCAGCCAATGGCAATCGAAGGATTCCAGTGTCACTGCGCGTCACCGACCGCCGACCCGCGGAGGAATCTCTCCAACGCGCGGACCGTCGTCAAGGGGCCCGGACCAAAGTTGCTCGGACTTTGTGCTCAGCATTCGTCGTTCGTCGGATCCCACGGTCGCGCTATGGACCTTTCGGACCTAACGTCTCTAGAGCTCGAAATCCTGGAACGGACAGCTGACATGGGTGCCATATCCTATGATTCGACCCCGATGCGCGACGTCGACGAACGCAGCGCCGCGGGCGCCGACTGTGGCAACGACGAACGGCCGCGCCGCGGTGAAGCGAGTCCGCAAGAGCTGGAAGACGCACCCGACGATGGAATCGGGCGGCTTGGGAACACGGACTGGTACGTGGTGCGCTCCATTATACCCCGCTTTAATGGGTAATTGATGCGTGTTTTCTGCGAAGGTGTCTATGTGGTTCCTGCGCGCCGATGGAGACCGTCGTCGAGTGCGTCTGCTGCCGCGAATACCCGGCCGTCGCACGGAAGCAGCAGGGCCGGCAGGGCTGCGTAACGGGCCACCCGGACTTCGAGGCCCTGTGCCTCAACCCTGAGGTGTTGAGGTTGGCCTACCTCAACATGCGGCACTACGGGCAGCAAGGGATGGGCGCAAGTGCCAGCGAGTGAGTACGATGTCATGCTTTGCGCGTGAGCAAACTCACCATGTCTCGGTGAGGACCGTGCCCTCGGCAACTACGTTCACTGTCCGATTCACAGCGTACATACGTACTTGTAATAACTTGTTGTTAGGCTAGATGAACGTTTAGCACCATCCTGGGAAGCGGTCGATGAATTGTTTGTGTTGCCGATAGTGAAATTAATTATAACCCCCACTGTCCAGGCGCAATATAGCGCTCCAGGGAGGCTTTCAAGAGACTAAATGAGAAGCAGCCTGCCTAGTTACCACCCAGTCATTTGTTCAATACAGAAACACGGACACTTCCAACTGCTGTCCCACTATAAACTACACATATTCTTATATGTTCTAAACGAACTGTTCTGATGAGACCGCCCTCTTCGAGCGTTACACTTCTTCCCGTTAGGCCAGATCATGAAGAGCTATTTTTCCTTGCATTTGCGGTTATCAGTTTAGATATGTCATTTTCTTGCTCTGTTTAGATGCAATGTTATGCAACAATAGCACTATGAAATATATGACAGTCACATGGCCTCGTCTCTTGTCGAGACGGCCTCGCCTCGTCTAGAGCAATAGAAGGCGACACCTTGGATGTACATATGCTTTGGCGTTGTCCCCATGCCCAATGCTCCCTTACTTCTCTCTTTTTCACCCTTCTCGACCCTCTGACTAGGCAGGCAGGCTCACCCCCCCCCCCCCCCCCAGCTTCAACTCGTTGATACACTACTGCTCCTACTGGTACAGCATGTCCATGCTGTACCGGGTGAGCACTGGTGGCCCCAATCAAGCACCGGACTATGGTGTAACTAATAAAGGTTCCCTCTCTCTCCCTTTCTCTGTCTCTCAAGAGAGCAGTGGATATCCCACACGTTTGGCTTTGGCGCAAACGACAAAGATAACGCAGTCCGTGTCAGAAACCCAAGTCTGGCTCGCAGCTTGCTCAAATGGTGTCTCTGAACAGAGCCGAATTAGCGCCTGAAGCCCCTCTACAAGCTCGCAGAGAGCAGGTGGCCGCAAAGGCTTGAAAGTCCTACTTTGTCAACGAGAGGCGAAGATTAACTCACTCCCGAGATTGTATTCGTCTCATGCAGTTTCCTTGCTTTTCTGTCTTAGCATAACTCAACAAAGGGTGAAAGCTACTGCCCTTGTGGGCCAGTCTGAGCGACGGAGCTAAGCACGTGCCAAAATTCCACAGGAGGAGTACACTAAGACATTACGTTGTCACATGCATTGTTCTTACACGCCCCGATTGGCTTGCTGATGCCGTAGCTTTTGCATTTTCCCAAGTTCAGAAAAACGAAGAATTACTGTTTCCAGATTCTTTCCTGCTAGCTTCATGGACTGGACCAGCACTATACTACAGAACAACACTTTTGAAGCAACAAATAAATAAGCACGAAATTATGATATTGACGCAGTAATTCGCAACCGTGTTGGGGAAGGATGCTCCAGTCACTTTGTTTCTCAGAGCTAAGAGTTCAGAAAACTGCATACACCTACTTTATCTTGCATGCATCAATGCCTTGTTGCTATCTTAAAAATGAGCTTAGCTATGCCAGCTAAGTTGATGCTGGGCAATCTTTTTGAGAAGAAACAAACACCAACTGCTTCAAGTGCACTGTCAACGTCGACAGTACAGTTGGCACCTTCAGCTCAGACATCCTCGTCCTTTTACCTGGTCTAGTCTCTGCGTGTGACCTTCAAGCCCATCAAAACAGGGGCCGATATCAAAATGACGAAAATCAAAATGTAAAGGCCAAACATTGAAACGTCGAAAAATAAAATGCCCAACAGCAAAACGCCGAAAGGTGAGAATGCGTACATATCTGATCGCCATATTTGGTACGGTATTGGCAGATGCTAGCTGCACCAGTGTGTTGGAATCATGGAAGTGTCTTCTGCAAAATTAGGAGCATGAAAAATGTGCAAGCTGCGCTCGAAGACGATATCGAGGCAGAAATCAGATTAGAACCTCGCCATCTACCACACAAGAAGCAAAGCATGCGAGAAGAGAGCCTGACAGCCGCTTTGGGCAACTGGGACAAGCTCAACATCCTTAGCTTTCTTTGGGAAATACACACAAACTATTAGATCATATTCAACAAACAAAGAATTCCTCTGGCAGAACAAATGTTTCTTCCACTTTCTCAATCTAGAACCCTGTAGGTTCGTGTTGAACATAATATTTTGGAATTGTTTGGTCTCTGGTACCGGGTGATTCGGCTAATAGAGATTTCGGCGGTTTGTTCTTTCAACATTTTTTTATTTTTGGCATTTCGATAATGCATCCTTTCAATTTTTGGGTGTCCCAAGCGAGTGCAATGTTCTCTGGTCAAAACAATCAAAAACTTGAGAACGATGACATAGGCACAGATTGCTGTTGAGTCCATGGATGCCACTACGTCTTTCCTCTAGAAGGCAAGTGGAGACTTATATTCCAACCCTATCGGCAAAAGTCATATTCTTTACTCCAGTATCCAAATTGTCAGAAGGGGCTTTAGACGGTGTTTGCAAGCTTTTTGGTCAAGAAACTACACAAAAAGGCAGTCATTGAAGGCTCATTGCTCTGGTTCGTGCACCGTTTACAATGCAATGGCAATGCGAACTAGAAACCTTCCATTCGCCCAGCGATGCAAAGTATCCCCCCTCCGCCCCCCCCCCCCCCCACACACACACACCAGCAATGTAAAACACCCCCCTGAAACAAATTTCTGGCTATGCCACTGCAGGCCATGCACTCAAAAAAATAAAAAATTTCCTCCTTCCCATATTATAATTGTCAAGGCAGCGCAGCCATATGGGGGGCGTACCATACTGATTTACGATTTATTTTTCCGCAGATATTGTCCACTTAGGGGTCGGTAGGTGTGTCGACCTCCTCAACGTAGTCCCCCTGGAGACGAACGCACTGGTTCTAGTAGTGTGGCAGCCTTTCCGTTCCGGGACCACTCTTTGGGAGTGCTTCGCACCCACGCCTGGACAGCCGCTTCGAGTTCACCAGTGTCCATGAAATAGGGTCCTCATAGGTGGTTTTTTCATGGTGCTGAATGGCTGATGGTCACTCCGGGCTAGGTTGAGGGAGTACGGTGAATGTAGGGATGGGCATTGTCATGCTGCAAGAGCGTACCTGCTGCCCCTTTCCCTGGCAGCTTCTCGTGAATCGCGCAATCACCTGAGGGTAGCCACATACGGGGCGATGTTGATGGTGGTGGCCGGTTACATGCAGTCAATGAGCATAATGCCCTCCGTATTCAGAAAGCCACGCGAGGATGTCTTTGCGGACATTGATGACTCGGAGGCATCTGTCCAGGCGTGGCTGAGACACACTTATAAACAGTGCAGGGATGTGATTGCTGCGCCAATTGCGCCAAACTGCACCAAGGGGCTAACTTTGCTACATCCTGCTACATTTCACCGAAATATGGCTAATCCGTGCCAAGCCTGCGCCAAAGAAGCAATTTTGGTCGCCTGTCATAAACGAAACGAAACTGAGAACCGTAATTGAGCATGCGTAAGCTAGGTCGCACAAGACGCCACCCGACACAAAGTACCCTGTATTAATCGTCTATTTGGTCTTGCATGATTTTTCCCGACGTCTCGCGTTTCGTGCACTCGTCGTCTCAGGAATCTCGTCTCGCGTCTTTTTTTTTTTTTTAGCGGTAGACACGGGCGTGTGCGGACTCTCAGACGTTAGTGTATCGGGTGCCAAACATGCCGTCATGCTGTGAGACAAAACCACGTTTTTGCGCGGCGGGAGTTACTTTTTGAGCTGAAGCGCTCGCGCGACGTCGTGTGTTGCCGTCCACACGTCGCTGCAGATATGGCGCTTACTAAACTGAAACGCATCGACATTCCTGCTCTTGTTTAAATCATACGCTGCTATAAAAATCCCTCTCTAACTCAATGACTGCTTGGCGAAGTTTTGATTACTTAGGTTTTTCCTGGTGGGCTTTCTTTCGAGAGGGACCCCGGTACGTGAAAAATCTGCCGCAAAAGAAAGTTGGTGAAGAGAAGTGAGCTAAAGCAAAGAAGGCAATGTCTGCACGCTGAACCCGCACAGCGCGCTTGTTTGTCTCGAGTTCAGTCGTTGCACGAAGCGCTCCAAGAACTTTTTTGACCTTGATTCGCAGTGTCTTGCATCAATACGCTCAGGTTCTTTTTTTCTGTGCGCTTAGCCTGTACCTCGCCTGCCGGCCTGGCAAGCACAAGTCGCTGGACTGTTTATTGTCGTATGCTGAACAGTTACATTTTGCATACTATTTTGGGAACCATGCAGTTGGCGACGGAGCGCGGAGTGGCATGGTTTCGGTTTCGGTCAAACAGCCGTTGTCTCCGCCCGCGCGACGAAGCACGTGTAACTGCAAGCCTGCCGAAGTTGCCCTTACGTGCATGTGAACATCATTGCAACAAAGGCACCAGCCGGGACGCTTGCAATGCGTTGTTTTACGTTTGCTTACTTTTTTTATAAAAATCTGCCACGTCAAGAATTTTGGCGGTGCCAGAAGAGTCCATGTGCGTATGGCAGCTGCCTAATTTGCTGTGCCAAGAGCTGCACAATAGTTTGTGCTCACTTGATTGTCACAAGGGGGGACGCCACGACAACAGCCACACTTGCATCTGCTCGTTTTCTCTGTCGTAACTTTGCCGGCATCTGACAGCATGACACTTTGGCTCCCGTAACATATTTTGTTGCCACTTTGGGACGGCTTTTGGTCCATGGGAGGTATATAGGGCAGTAAACACCCCAGTCAGAGACATGTCAAGGCGTCCTGCCCTCCAATCCTTCCTAGCTTCGATCCCTTAATCCCCTGATCTAGTTGAAAAGCCAAAATCTCAAGGTGGGGTGATAATTATTGGGTGTCTGGGTCTTGATTTACACTATTTTTGGATGCAGATGCCAGACACCCTGAAGCCGGTGGATGATCATCTCGACATGTTCCTTGTGGTGCCAGCAACACTTGCACCGCTGGTGTGGCATTCTTTGCACGCTATGCTGGGATAGTTTTTTAGGAGTGCCATATCTGGACAGCTTATTCAGAAGCAGGCTGTCGTCGTCGAGATCCATGCTTTTTTTTTAACAGATGATGTTGCAGTGCCCACATGGGTGAGTATGACAGAAAGGATTCGAGATTGGAATAGGTCACCAAACAGTATCGCATCATTTTTCGTTAAAATATTTTTCTAACAACACTATTCATTGAAATAAACACTGAAATTCAAAGTTTCTCGTGCAAGAATGGGGAGGCCTGGGGGTGCTCATATGTATCCCCACTACTCTGATGATAGTAGTGTCACCTCTAAATCAACACAGCATAATGGAAGACATATCGCAGTCTAAAACGGGAAAAAATGTTGATATATGTGTCTTGCAGATGCGTATATGACCAAATAGCAAATGATTGCGGTGCCCTGAGCCCTAAGGTATTCAGGACCAATAAACACATGGGGGTGGTAGCAGCTGTCATGGCAAATGGAAGCTGTCAGAATGACATGTTCGGATATTGACACGGATTGTGTCGGAGAGACATGAAATCACAACTGCTGGGGCCACTCCAGTATTGCATGAGCACTTCAGCTCGTATGTTTACACCAAAACTGTTCTGTGCGAGCTTCATAGAACACTCATGGCCAGGCTGCTATTCTCAAATCCCTAATCACCAGTACCAATGCCAAGCTTCGGCAGTGCCAGCAGCACTTTAGACAATGTTAAATTGGGACGTTCTCTGATGAGTTCACATTCCCTGGCACTTGTGTGCAGGAAACCTTTGCAGTAGGTGTGTGCGAATATTGGTTCAAATTGAATAGTATGTTTGCCATAACCTTCGCGCTGCAAAGGGAAGCCGATGCAACCGGCTCTTTTTGCGCTGTTGATGCTAGAAACGACAGTGCACTATTTAATTCGAACCAATATTTGCACACCACTACTTCACAGGCTTACGAACTGCACTGTTTTGTCCCAAATTAAACAACATCATATGGGGAGCTTTCCACTGTTCTGGATGAATGGCTCCCATTCCCTCTGGCCAGTGCACATAATTTTCATGTGTCCTTCCCAAAACACAGCGACGCAATATTCGTCACCAACACCAATGACAGATATTATCTACAATTATGAACTGGGACCCTGTGAACTTATTTTATGTATCATGACCACGCAACAGATATTCCTTCCTTGTTAATTCCGGTGTATAACTGGTTGTTGTGTCGATTGGAGTTGGAGGTGCGTTAGGAGAACCAAGGCCTGTAGTTTTTTTGTTTTTTTTTAAACTCTGGAGCATTTAGAATGAATCTACAGCAGTTCACTTCAATTTGGCTTCCATGTCTAGCCCATCCGACATGGACTGCCAAATAGGGATTCTGCTATGTGATAGCTGGAGTGGACGTAACAGAAAAGCAGAGTATGATTACATGCCTAGAGAAATGAAAACAAGTGTAGAATTTGCCAACAGAGTGATAGGCTTTGCTTCTTACATCCAATCTCTGTCATTGTTCCAGGCACTACAGATTTGCAGCCTACAGGCAGTGTGCCCTGTGGCTGTGGAGCCGCTTGGGAAAGAAGAATAGGCGGCCCCTGCCATCCTGTCTGGTCAAGACAATTAGGGGCAGGTATCCTGCTGACGTGTATGCGGGCTACAGGGATGCAGAATAAATTGCGTTGACCTAGAGACCACGCAACCCCCTTCCCTTGTCTCTTCACCCTCCCTGCATGTGTGTGAAGTCGCTCGTAGCCATGAACGGAATCCTCTAAATCACGTGACCTATTATCTACGATATCACGTGACCATAACTATGATCACATGATCGTAGTCAAACCAAAGCCAGTGCACCTACGTCACATTCAGTCACACGACGAAGCCGCCTCGGTGGCTCCGAGGCGAGAGTGCCGGCCTACGGATCCCCATGTGGCGGGTTCGAATCCCGGCCGAGGTGCCTGCAATCTGATGGAGGTATATTGCGGAGAAGGCAGCTTGGTAATCGAGCTTTCGATTGCACGTCAAAAGATCCCCAGGTGGTCGAAATTAATCCTCGGTCCTCCGCTGGGGCGTGCCAGATGCCCGTCGTTGGTTTGGCACGTAAAACCCCCAAATTTGATTTGAGTCGCACGACCGGATTGCTTCATTTTCCTCCTAGAATCCAAAGGCTGTCATCAAAACTACTAGGGCGTGAGAAGTGCTCATTTGGAACACTAACCTAAGCAGTAAAATTTGGCACCCACTAATACCATTTTAAAGTAAAGATTGTGCTTTTCATCTCGTCTTGGTGAATCGGGTTTTCGGACTATGCTGGTTCGGTCGTGGCCCTGTCTGTTCTTCCGCAGTTGCGAACGGCCGCTAAGAAGTGCGAAAAGTACTCAACTGCAACGCTATAAAAGAAGGTGGCGATTCTCAAGCTAACAGAAAGTGACCGAACGCAAGCGGAGTCGTAACCTAAAGCGAGCCATTATTGACGGCTCTTTTAAAGCATGCTTAGGTGCACCATATAATTGCGTGCAAGGGCCATATTTAGAGTGAAATATTTTTTTTTAAATATTTAAAAAGTTATTTACGTATGATGCGCTCTGCCGCACCGCTGGCCAACGCCCAAAAAGCCTGAAGATGGGGGCCATCGTTGCCCACTTCAAGTGCGCCAACCTCAAGCTACTAACCTCGGACAAGGAAGGGGGATTTGTCGTCCTGCCCCATGAACTGTACAGCAAAAAAGCCAAGGAACCTGTTGACAAGAACTTCAAGCCAGTGAAGCCAGGATCTCTGAACAGGGTGAAGTCGAGGGCAAAGAAATTATGCTGTGAATTAGACCTTCCTGTTTTAGCGAGGAAGGTGAACACTAGTAATAAGCTGTCCCTGGACATTTTTTTCGTGACTAAGACGCATTAAAAGGGACGTCCCTTTTAGGGCGATAGTTACAGAGAGAGACTCGTGTCAGTACCAGTTTTCCATCTTTCTTATAATGCACCTTTCGTCATTGAAACTGCATGATGAGTTCCTAGTCCGCAGCTCAGATGAGGTGATTGACTTCCTGAGGGGTTGGTCTAGAGGGAAGTGTGATGCCTTTTCAATTGATGTTGAAGATATTTTTTTACTTTGTCCCGCATCAAGCCCATTTTACAGCTGTAACCAAATGCATCGACAAGAATGGAGAAACGGCTTTCGGGAGCTCCTGTGGTATGAGTGTGGAGATTCATTGGACTCCTGTCTTTCTATCTTGAACATACCTTTGTGTCTTTTGATGGTGATGTGATGTGCAAAAACAGGGCATTTGCATTGGTTTGCAAGTGGCCCCCGTCTTGTGTGATATTGTTTTAATACTCTGTGACCCAAGCTATAGCTGAAAGACTTGGGAATAAAGACGATATTAGAATTTTTAGGTATGTCTATGATTACCTCGTCATTGTCCTCGCACATAAGGAGCTTACTGATATTGTTGCAGTTGATTTAATGGAAGTTTTTGCGGCCTGCTCCCATGGGGTGAGGTTTACCCATGAAAGAACATTGGAAGGGTCTTTGCAGTTTCTAGATTTGAAACTTATGTTTCTAGAAGACCACATTTGCTGGGCTTATGAACCCCGCTCTAAGAAGGATGCACTCCCCTACGACTCCGCACATTCCAAACTGGTAAAACGAGGTACCGCCCAGTCCTTTCTCGGAGCTGCATTGGCCAAATCCTGTCATCATGAAATGGGCAGGAGCTTCCTGTTACAGGTGGATCATCTAGAAAGCGTAGGTTTTCCGCGGAAACCTCTGACTGACGCAGCGGACAGCCTGAAAAGGAAATATAGAGGTGTTCGCCTAAACGCCCGTGAACGGCAAAAAAACCAGACCGGCTATCATTCCTTACGTTCACGCTATCTCCCACAACTTAAAAAATGTCGTGAAGCGTTACAATGTTCCGGTTGTTTTTTCGGCCCCGAAGAAACCCTCGGCCTTGTGCAGAAGGATAAATGCCCCGGAAAGGCTAGTGAGGAATGCAAAAAGAAACACCAAACGAAGTTTGTGGATTGTAAAACATCTGTCGTCTACGATATACCACTATTCTGTGGGAGCTCGTATGTAAAGCCAACAGGCCGCTGCATTAATGATTGTGCAAGGGAGCACGCGGCAACTATCTAACAGACGCCGTGCATTGTGATCGACGCCCGTGCACCTCAAAGTTGTCAAACACAATCATCCTGGGGCTGGAAGTGACAATGTTGTATTTTAGGTATTTAGGCATCTGTGTTTTCTAATAAACGTTCTGTTGCGAGTGCGCCCCGTGTTGTCGTCCACTTCTTCACCTGTCCCCGTTCCTTTGGCGCTCATTTCCAACCTAACACCTTTGAGGACTGGGTGATCTCACAGGACAAGCCACCGCCTACGGTGCGGCTCCAATGGAATCAGCTCTGCAGCATTTACGAGGACGGCGGACCAGCGGGGCTCTTGTCCCGATGGCCATCGGTGACTGCGAACTCCCTTCAGTAATTGCTACAAAACGCTTTGCAACGTTTTGTAGCACTGCATTGTGAAACAGCCGTCAGCCACTCTCAGGTGCAACTTTGTGTATTTTTTTTTTTTGCCACTGAAGATGCTTTAAAGCAAGAACAGTCATGTATGACATTAAATAAAGAAGTTTTCTCAGCTCAACTTTGTTCCCTTTCACTGGAGCAACACCAGATGCCTTGATTAAGTACAACTGCTGCAGAGTCAGTATTTCGGAGATTAAATGTCCTTGGGACGTCAGAACTTCACTAAAAAAGAAATGGACAATGGAGTATGAAACAGCAAATTCTTTGTACAAGTGTAAAGGCAGATGGGTGTAACAAAGGTGTCTTCAGCTTCACTCCATGTTTACAGTGACGTTTCTCCAGTTGAGCTTTCGGATCCCTCTGACCCCGCTTACTTTACAGATCTAGTGAGTGGTCTGAAATTTTTTTTCAGCTACTTTTATATTCTAGAACTGCAGAGATGTCCTTCCGTGAAAAGCTCTGGACCAAACCAAATCATCATGATTAATCATGAAACTGGCACGGAATTTAACAAGGAAGCATGTCTACCCCACAAAACTAGAAAAGATGAATGTGCTTCATGCTGTGCAAATATTATCCCCACAAGTATTTTCAGCCTTAGAACACCTTCAAAAAAAATCAAACAGTGATCCTGCTCTTTATGTTTTCAAAGAAAAAATAAAGAGCAGGATCACCGCCCTACCACACGTTTCATGAAGACAATGAAGGAATGGTTTGACATTCATGACACGACCTACACAGGGAGTGCACAAAAAAGACCCATCTCAATGAAGGACGACCCTCGACTGGTGTGGCTTGAAAACGAGCTTTCATGCTATGTGTGAAGAGCATCCAGGAAACACTCGTGGCTTCAGGAATGAATGCTTTCACAAATGAGACCTTCCAAGCCTTGCTTTTTAGCACGAAGTCAGCTGTGGAGACAACAAAGTTCCTTTTAGCAAAAGGTGCCAACTTCGTCCCGACAAGGAAGTCAAACAGCAACCACCTCAAAGCACTTTTTGGGAGAATAAGATTTATGTGTGGTGGCTGTGACAAGTTAGTGGCGCCCCCTCCAGTCCGCCCGTCTGCGGCCGCCTGGCTCGGCGGGCAACATTGTTCACCGCGCCAATAAACGCCGTTGAGCGCACGTGCTCCGGCCAATCATCGTCCACCCTCACAACCAGGCTGCGTGTCGTCTCTCCTCGGCGGGTGCTTCGGCCCCCTTTGTCCACGTTCGAGAAAGATCGTGACACTGGCGACGAGGAACCGTGGCACTGGAGGCCACCAACGTGCACGGTTCGGCCCACGCCGCCGAGAGAGTCGCAACACCGCGCCCCGCTCCTGTCGCCATGCCGCTCTACGGGAGGCTCGAGCCGTTCGAGGGAGATGGGTCCGCCTGGCCAGTCTACGAAGAACAGGTCCAAGTGTTCTTCCGGGCGAACGACACGCTTGAGGCGAAACAGCGGGACATCTTCTTGGCCAGCTGCGGGACCCGTGTCTTTAGCCTCCTGCTCGACCTCCTCAAGCCGGCCACGCCGCACGTCAAAACGCTGGGTGAGCTGCTCGCTACGCTGCGCTCGCACTTCAGCCCGGCGCCGTCCACGCTCATGGAGCGGTTCCGCTTCAACAACCGGAGCCGCCCGGACGGGGAGACCCTCAGACAGTTCGTCGCTGCGCTACGAGGGTTAGCGAGCACCTGCGCTTTCGGCGACCAGTTGGACTCGCTACTCCGGGACCGGTTCGTCTGCGGCATCAACAACCCTGCCATGCAGACGCGACTCCTGGAGCTCCCCGACCCCTCGCTGGACGACGCGGTGAAGGCAGCGCTGGCGATGGAAGCAGCAGCGAAGAACGCCAGCGAGATAGCGCGTGCGGCCGGCTCACCGTCGACGGAAGCGGCGGTGAACAAGATGGCGACAAGGAGCGGTGCCTGCAGCCGCTGCGGTGCTGCCCACTCCCCCTCACAGTGCCAGTTCGTCCAAGCACAACGCTTCACGTGCGGGATAACTGGGCACCTCGCACGTGTCTGCCGAGGGGGGAGGACGAGCGGTGGCCAGCAGCAGCAGCAGCAGCAGCAGCCTGGTTCAAGCCCGGGTTCCAGCCAAGCCCGCGGCCAGGGTGGTCGTCGCAAAAGAACGCGGCGGGGACGAGCGGCACAAGGTCCGGGTACCTCCTCAGCCAGGGTCCACGTCGTGGCCGAGGACCCGCAGATTTTCGACGTGTGGCAGACGAGTAAGCCTCCATCGTCTGTGCCACCTTACTTGGTGTCCGTCGAAATCTGCGGCCACCCCATCACCATGGAGCTGAACACAGGGGCCAGCGTGTCGGTCATGCCC